ATCTTCTTGTTTTTTTTCTGTGATTTTGAGTGTGGTCACTGAAATGCTTGTAACCAGCAGAAGCCATTGGTGTGGGTAGGACCAGGTGACCTCATGTGAGGAATAAAAGCTCAGGGCTGAGCGGCTCATTCTCGGGCTGTGGTTCACGTTGGCCCCACGGGAGTGAAGTTCAGAAGCAGCCCCTGGAGGAGCACATCCACCCCATCAACTGTAAGGAACTTAAGCTTCTCTATTTCTGGCTTTCATTTCAGAAAACCCAATGTCTTCTATTCTCGTTCACTTGACCCACTTATGAAACATTTAAAAAAATTTTTGTACAGTATTCACAGTTAACTAAAGTTTTCCTTTATTGGTATATTCTAAACAACATAAATTAACATGGAGGTTGGAAAGCATAACGCAGCTATGCCCTGGGTGATACGAAGAGACACATTACTACCACAAATAGTTCCAGGTATACATCAATTTTCACCTTATTGGGATGTTGTATAAGAACCTGCCATAGGTGTTTTCTTTTACCAAATGTAGTTAGCATCCTAGGGTCACCCATCATGTCTTGAGGATCCTAATTCATCCAATCTTTCTCACTTTATTTACTTGTATCTTTTTCAAGGAAGTAGAAACTTAGAATTGTTTTATTGAGGAATAGAAAAGTATAAACTCAGGGAGAACACTGATAGAATGAAAACTGGCCTCTGGCTTAACGCAGTCCTTGAAGGGACTAGATGCAGTGACAAAAATGGAGTGATGGTACCAGGACAGCTGATATACTGATGTGTGCTGGTGCTACTTCGCTGCCACGTTGTTTACTACTTCTGTCAATGGCCATTGCGTTGGTCGTAAGTCTTGGTGATTTTGTCTTCAATGCTCGATGCTCCCATGACTGAACATCAGATTTAATGGATAAGCTTTTGAGTAGTACATATGTTAGGTCATGTTAGCTAACTAAATGATTCCATAAACAGTTATGGAGCACCTAGGGTTAACAGGGAATGAAATTCCTCATAATCCAAAGGAGAAAGAATGAATCATGTGGTTGAAATATAGAATAAATGCTGCAATGCCTTGAAGTCATCTAACTCTCTCTGTTCTTCCCAATGCTTCCCAAATAATCTTTTGCTGCTCATTTGATTTCTCAAGTAGATTTTGCTCTGAGAAAGTAAAGAGCACAGAATTACCCATAAGGAGTTTGGTCTACCTGGCAAATCAACCTCACAGAAGATCTGTTAGTAGAAACTGTCTTCTAAGAGGCTGATCACAATGTGAAGTATTGAAGTGAAATATCTGGACCTAACAAACCCCAGATGACAGCGTGGACTATGACATCTCTCAGATATGCAGCCAACCTGGGGATCTCAGCCTGCATGGTCTTACACAGTAATTAAATCTGTGTCTTCATGCAGTGATACTTTCTGTAATGAGCCCAGTAAAATGATGCCACTAAGCAGGCCACTCCCATGCCTGGGGCTGTGCCACTGTAGCCATAGAGTGAGCAGGGCCTCTCCGTCCCTCAATTTCTCACAGCTCTCAGTGCCTTCAGAAGCGTCCTGCAGTCATGGGTTGGGCGTGAGACCAGGGAAGCCGTGGGTGAATGGGGCCAGTTCAGGCTAGCTGGCATTCCTATCCCTGAAGATGAGTAAGAGTCCTAGTCAGACCGTCATCACAGAAATGGTAATTTGGGTTTACATGCATCCCTGATTGGTTCAGCTCCTTGAAGACAGGCTGCCCTTCAGGGCTGCACAGTACTTACGTATTGGGTGCCATATACTTTCTGCTAACTTAAGTATTCTGTTGAATTTTGGTGGCCTCATCAGTACACAATGTACTTAAAAATCTTCTATCAAACATATGTTTCCTTTTGCAGTCAGAAGACAGCCACCTTGTACATATGGATGAATGAGAAATGGAAGGAAATACTTTGTTGATCTCTATCTGTAATAGGATGTCACTTCCATCTTTAGCCAAAGTTAGGTTTTGACCAGTCACAAATTTTTCTTTGGAGATTAGAGTCTATTTTAATCAGCATCTATGTGATTATCACCTAAACTGCATGTTAAAAAAAAAGTGGAAAGATAGAGTGTAAGTATTTAATTTAATCTTCTACAACCTCAGGAGCATCTTCAGATACAATACTTAGTAAAAAGCATAAAGTCTCTCTTTATTCAGCTGATTAGTGCATTTTCAGGCTGAGCATTACAGAGTTGACTTTTTTTAGCCACATTATTAAATGACACCAAAGCTTTAGGAAACAATGCTATTAATAGTGATGACTCATGTGTGCTTCATATTTTAAGAAGAATAGTAAACTTTTACAGGGCAGTGTCTGAAATATTTTCTTCATAAACTTGTTTAACTGTAATTATAGTAATATATAAGATTATGTGTTTTACTGCAATTTATAATGTAAGTTATAAAGTAGCTTATACTATATATAATATTTAGTATTAAAATATAAAGTAATGTATATCATAATATAGAAAGCAAAAAAGCCAACGTTTTAGAGTAATTTAAGGCACACAGCATGTGAACTTGTTATTCTAGTGTTGTTGGCAACTTGGTGCGATTCTTGGAAGGGGAACTGAGGAGGAAGCAGGGAGAGGCTTTCAAGAGAGATAGGGTGGCACAAAAACACAGGCATGACTAGAACCCGGCTGAGGGACATTGCATATGGCAGCCTGGTGGGTCTGGAGGCCTTGGTGGGAAAATCATAGGCAGGCTGGTTGGAATCATCGCTTGTCGTCAGCCATGGAAAGTTTCGAATCCTGGTATAAGAATGTTCAAATGTAAACATCCATTTAATGTTTAAAACTGGGTTTTGACATGATGATAGTAACATGTTTGTAATACTGATTTGAGTGTTGTGTAGATTGGGTGCTAGGGAAAGAGACTGCACCCAAGGAGATGAAATTTAGCTAAGGGAGAGGGGAGGGTATAGCCCAGTGGTAGAGTGCGTGCCTAGCATGCACGAGGTCCCAGGTTCAATCCCCAGAACCTCCATTAAAAATAAATAAATAACCAAAAAAGAACAACAATAACAACAAAATTTAGCCAAGATGTTAAATAGTCCGAGTGAAGTGACAAAAGCCTAAATCACAGCAAGCAGTACTGTGTCATGGCAATGAAATTTAAAAAGGATGGACAAATGTGATAATGAAAAGATACAGGAAAGGCATCAGGAGTACTGGATCACTTGATCTTCTATCCTAGGGGATTAACTTAATAGGCATTAGCTGAGCAACTCCTATATGAGAGTGCCTGGGAGAGGAAAGCCCACTCTGGGGTCTTCTCAGTGTTCCACAGTGGGGAGGCAGCATATATGAAAGCTGCAGACTGCCAAAGTGGCAGCCATGGTTTATGTGTCTTCCCCAGTCTCAAAGGCTAGAAATAGGTTATCCCAGCCCTGGCAGAACCAGTTATAAAATCTATTGGCGTGTCTTGCATTAGGGTTCAAACCCTAATTTTAGGATGTGGAAGTGCAAATTTCCCATTATATCGTTCTTAGCATTTGAAGTCTCTGCCCAAACTCCAGGGCAACAGGGAAAACATTTAAAGTCTTATCTACTGTATATATGATTCAGTAATAGGCTCGATTCAAGCTACTGGTAGATGAATGAAAAGAGTCCAATAAGGGAGGTGAGTAAAAAATATTGTTTTGGGGTTTTTTTGGTGGTAGATTTAGTAAATCTGCTGAAGAGATTCTAATATATAAACTCGTTTTCTATCTTTAATTTTTACCCCCCTCAAACTAACGTGTATTAGTTTTTTGTGCACTTAGAGATAATCATAAATCCAGCAGTAATGAGATGAGCACAATAGTTTTTCTCTTAGGGAATAAATGGAGATATTTTGAAGTTTTACGTTAAAAGAATGTCTGAAGTTATTTTTGCCAAACATCATGAGGAAAATATAATTAAGTAATAAATATTACAGTCTTAAGTTTATTATTTAAAACATAAGTTTTCATTTAAGCTATTTTTATTGCATTATTTTTTATTAAGTCCTAAGATAATTTTTTACTCATTTTGAAAATACACACTTTTCTTTCTTTGCTTGGTTACATAGCCAGATTTGTTTGTTAATTCCTAAATATGGTGCACACAGACCTACATGCAAGATTATTTTGCCATTTAAAAGAAGTTCTGTAGCTTTTGTGTGTTTACCAACAATTTAGGATATGGTCAGTGACCTGAAATCATAGTTCATAATCATTTTAATTCATAACTGTCTGTACTGTTTTAGTCATGTGCATGAAGCCACAACCCAAGCCATTGGAGTGCTTGACAGGATACAGAATCATTATGTTACACACCAGAAACTAACACAACATTGTAAATCAACCATACTTCACTTTTAAAAAAGTATGTTGATACCAATGGGTGAATTCATTTCAAGGTCATGGGAGACGCCTTAATCCAAACTCACTCCTGAGTTATACTTGCCAACATTTTGTTTACTATTCTTCAAATGGTTTTAAGACAGGGAAGGGCATAGACTTTGGAGTTAGACTGGACTAAGTTAGAGCCCAGTGACTTGTGACTGAGCCAGACTCTGAACCCAGGCCCCATGAGTGAGGGTCCCATTAGCAAAGGCTGAGACCGGCCCACAGTGACTTCTCAGTTGGATCTGATTCAGCCTCGTACGCGGGACTTAAGTGAGTCATCATTGGTTGATTGTAGGTATAGTGAACAAGGGCATATGGTAGCATTTGACAAGTACTTGAAGACCTTCCTGCTCCTCCAAGATGTCACCTGGCCAATGGAGAAGCACAGTTCCTGCATTAGAGTCAGACCTGTGGGCATTTGTTACCTTTATTAAAATAAATCTATATACTTTGTTGTATATAAATAAAAGCAAAATGGCCGTCTTTAGGCACAAAATACTCCAATAGCAGGATTGCAGAATTTATTCACACTACATCTCGGTGTACATACATGTACTCCATTTTGTTTTTTAAACCTGTACTTGACCTAGACCTATACCCTTACTATCCTCAGGCTTTGGGTAGTAGGGAAGAAAAATAGGTTTCATCCATTCAAATGCAATCATTTTAAAGTCCCTTTAAACAATACTCAATTCCTCAGTGAAATGACCCTCTAGCTTAGATTTTTCTATTTTCATCTCCCCCTTTCCCTTGTCCCAGCCTGGAATATGGAAGCAGGAGGGCCCATACCTCACAGCTGCAGTTGCTCCGGGTCCCAGAGCTGCGTGCTTCCACATCCGAAGTGGGAAAATGTTTTAATACTTTTTTATCTCGAGCTTCTTTTGGACCACCCAGGGAGGTTATGAATTCTCAGAGGGAGCTCTTTTGGTCTATCCATTCCGAACTGAATATCAAGACAGGCGATCTGCCCAGTAGATCCCTGAGGGGAGTGAAGGTATTTATTTCCAGGTCACCTTATTCTTAGGATGTAGCCCTGTAGGGAGGCAGGTTTATGTAGGGACCTCACTGGAAACTACTCTCCTTGGGTGGCCTGGGCTTTGTCCTCTGCCCCTGCACCCCATGGGACAGTGAAAACCAACGCTGGGATTCCTCTGGGTGGCAGATGATGTAGAACTAATGAAGGCTTGTTTTGTTTACATCTCTGACTTCCCACTTCCACTTGGTTTTTTGATTCTTAGTATTCTTTACTTTCTTGGCAGCTCATCCCACATTTAGAAAGATTTTTTTTTTCTGGAATTTTTAGTTGTAGGAGTATTTAGTCCTCCAGACTGTAGAACTAGAAGTTGGCTAAGTTCATTTATTAAATTGCATTATGTTTTATCCATCTTACCTAAAGGTTTGTTGGAGACAGAACCACTGCACGAAAGAGATGAAGACACTGTAGCTGGTGCGGATTTCTCTAGCATGCTCTCTGAGGAGGAAAAAGAAGAGTTAAAGGCAGAACTAGTTCAGGTAGGTTTAGTAATCTTCCTATTGTTACTATGTCTGTCTCTGGATTTTGAGAAATATTAATAGTTTGATATAAGTTCCATATTACAATTATGTTGTCTTTCACTTAATAAAATTTAATAAGTGATATGTTGCAAGATGATTCCTTTTTCCAGGGTATTTTTGTAATGCTAACAGTCCATTACTCATTGGTGGCTGTAGGAAAACAAATGGTTAAGCTTCTTAAACAACAATAATTCTTTGTAAATATGCACCTCTTACTCTTTTTAGTATCATAATGCAAGGGGGACCATAAATCACTTACTTATCTGATGGAATTCGTACAAGACCTTGGTACAGATACAAGCTGCTGTTTAAGAGCCGTTCTTGTTTTAGGTCAGCAATTTAGCTCAATAAATACTTTGACATGATTTATTTTTATAACAGAAAAGTCAGTCATAGAAGCAACTGAATGTATTAAGTTGATATGTTCTTTGTCAGAAAAACAGAGCTCTAGGGGTAGAGAGGAAAGCTTCAATGATCTTGTGCAGCTGCTGTGGGCATCTGGACCTAGAGTTGAGGAGGATGCCTGGCTCGTCATGAAGATGGCTCTTGGTTCAAGCCATTTGTTCGCAGCACCTAGTAACCTGTAAACACTTTGCTAAGCAGCATTCACACTGTAGGAAAAAGGGGCGGGAGAAAGGGAATTTCTCAAGTGAAATAAGCGGTCGTGCAAGAAGGAGAGACCCCGCTCTGAATCCTTGGCTCAGAGGGCAGGAGGCTTCTGGTTCAGCTGGAAGCAAGGCTTTGCCTTCCTTCTGCTCTGGCCTCCTCTACAGGCTGGAGGCAGCTTTAAATTAAGCTGCATCTTATCCTCAAATGGCTTTGCCCACTCCAGACTCTCCAACCTCTGTGGTTCTGATAGTGTGTGTTTATGACAGCTCATAATATTAAAGACTTTTCAGGTGCTTTCACAGGACACACTCTAAATTAACTTCATGATAAAATAAAAGAGCAGCTTGTTCTTCTAGAACAGCAGAAATTATTTCCGTAAGGACAGTGTGTCAAATCCAATAGTCTGGCTCTTTAGCAGGGCCTGTCTGTGGCCACTGATCCAGAACCACCTCGTTTACTTCAGATTGGCCATACCTGCCAGAGTGCACAGACCAAAGTCAGCCTTCACAGAGAACATCCTAGCTGCACATTTTCTTAAGGCCGAGAACCCTGGTTCATGACCTGTTCATGTTAGCTATGGTGTCCAAAGATTGTGTTCTGCAGACTGGGGTCAGCCAACTGATTCTAAGCTGAAATTTAACTTCTTCACTGTTATTGTCTAAATTTAAGTTTGTACCTAACTTCTGTAGCAGAACAACTTTTATCAAATGACTTGATTTTTCTGGGTTCTGTGATTACTGGGTTATAATACATATGTAACCATATATCTGTCTATAACCATATATACAACCATATATACATATACACAACTATACATATAGAGAGAGAGAGCCTTTTTTTTTAGCAAAGAGATGTTTTATTACCATTGTTATGGCAACGTGTCCCAGGAGGGGACCAATCCTCAGCACACAGTACCGCGCTGCAAGCAATAAATCAGAGCGAAATGATTATTGTACACAGTGCAGACAAGGGTCACCCCAAACCTCAAACAGAAGACTGAAAATCACTTTACAAGAAAGTAAATAAGAATAATACCCATTTTTCCTATTTAAAAAAGTGCCAGCCCTCAAGTGGCAAAGCATGGAAAGGCGAGGAAGCACGGCCCCTCAGTAGCCCCAATGCTCGAGGGGCGGGGCCCACCCTGGCGTCTAAAGATGATTGAAGTGTCCCAGATCTTCATCTTTTGTACTCCTGTTCTACGATTCTCACTCTCTGCTAACTTCTTCAGAGTGTCAGCCTCACAGCCACAGCCTCCCTCTGTCAAGATGTTAAGACCACAGACTCTCCCTTTGTAAGGCTTAAATCTGAGTGAAGAGTGAAGAGAACAAACACCAGAACCTTAAAAAGCCAAATGGTAGTGGAGCCAGTGCCAATTTAGGAAAGCACTCTTACCCCCAACCCCTTTAGAGTTATACTTCTATATATACTCAGACACACACACACACACACACACACACACACCTACATACACATATATATATACACACATATTTACATCTGTGTTTTGTGTGTGTGTGTTCTGTATTTTCTAAACTTTCAACAATGAGTATGTATTACTTTTATAATCAAAAAACAGTAAGCCTCACTTCTCAGTTGATGCCCCCATAGAATATTTAAAAAACAGCAGTTTTCGCAAATTTTTGTCTCATTCGACCACATTAATAATCTTCCAGCATGTCTCATCCTTAAGACTCTTCGAGCCTGACTTCTGAAAAATAACATTAGACTCCTTGTTTCTGTGCTCAAGTTACCAGGATTGATGTTTTCATCCTTTAGAAGGTATTAGCCTCCATGCCTTTTGTCTCTTATTTCTGGATTCTTCAGAGATGAAGAAATGCATCGTGCCAAAGGTGGCAGCGTGACTTCCAGAGGCCCTGGGTACCCTGTGTGCCACAGGCCCAGCGAAAGCAAAGGAAGTGTATCTTTGCTGTTTTTCATCTTCACATTTACATTTCTTCTCCCTCTATCTCAGACCACTTCTGCTTTATGCTCTTTCTTTTCTTAAATCCACTTTCTCCCTTCTACAGTGCCTGTAGCTTGTACAAGCTCCCCCCCCACCACACACACACATACACCAGTCAGATCACACATGCATTCAGACTGCCTGAGGTGCTAGGGTTTCATTGTATCAAGGATACAAAGCACATCCTCTCAGCAGCCCCACAGCTGGCTGTACAAAGAACTGAGACATCTGGCTGACCTCTCAGCTTCTCTGCCTCAACTCTCTGCGGACATTCTCCTGGGGCCCCTGGTCACAAGCAACTCCCCTCTCTGTGTTTGAGAGAAGATCCTTCTGGGTGTGTTAGCCACTTGGGTAACAGGACACCTCACAGCCTATTAGATAATAATTTATATTTTTATAAAAAGGCTATTAGATTGCATTTTTTCAAATTAAAGTATAGCTGATTGAAAAGGAAATCATCAAACCACAAAAAGGAAGACAAAAAGAAAAAGGAACAAAGAAAAAATACAAAATCAACTGGAAAACAAAGTTTAAAATGGCAGTAAGTACATACTTATCAATAATTACCTTAGATTGCTTTTGAGTCAAGCAGTCAGTTGTGGCCATGATCCAGAGCGAGAGCTTTGTGTAGGAGGCCTTCTTACCTCTGACGGCTTTGCTTATTAAAAGGGGTCTCGGGGTGTGCCAGGCACCCCGTCTCCTCTTCTGTGCACTCCTCTCCCTAGTTTCCTCAGGTTGTCCTGCTGTCTGCTGGCTGTGCTGGATCCCACTCCGCAGCCCCACATGGCTTTACTTGGCCCTGTTTTGTGGTTTATATCCCCACGAGGAAGCCCTCAGACCTTGGGCGAGCCTGCACCTGCGTTCAGCCCCACAGCCAGCATGCTGTTGTGCATACCCGGTGCTGCCTGTAGGAAGGCCTGTGCCCGGTGGGGGAGACATAAAATAAGCCAGTATTGTCCGAGAGGCTGCATCCCAGACAAAGTCTGCATTTTAAAAGAGGAATCTGTTGTTCACATGCTTTGGTCGTGAGTTTGGTATTGTGGTCATGCGATATGTGTGTTTTCAAAAATTCCTTCAATGTGAGACCAATATCACCGCTGATCTGGTGCCGTGGTTCGTGCACAGAAGGAGCTCAGTTTAAGACTTAACAATTACCTCGAATCATTTTATAGCATTAACAAATATTTATGTTTGTAAATACTAGAAATGGAATGTGTTTTTTCTACAAACCTTGCCAACACATAAAGAAATACTATTTTGTTTCAGATATTTGTTCTCATTAGTCTCACCGACAGCTGCTCTTAACATCTTTTTTCACGTCTATTCTGTGGGATTTTTTTTTCCCCTCTCGCTCCCTTTTTAAATAAACTTGCTCCATATGCCTGTACTACTAACATCCCGCTCCCACTTTGATTTCGCTAAGCTGCATTTTATGCTTAGTATTCCATAATGTGACTTGACTTTTGAAAAGGATGAAGTGTTGGCATCAGTACTGTAAATTTATGATTATATAACAGTCACGTACTGCCAATGTCCCCTAGATAAAAGGACTCAAGAAAAATAGGCATTAAGAAGAGTAGGAAAAATACCAGACAGCAGTATTAAGTCAGCAGGCCTTTTTTGGATCTTCCTTGTTCCTTTGGCTTGTGGTTCCCCAAGAAAAACACACAGTGCCCTCAAGCCACCTGTCTCTTAAGCTTACAGAGTGCCCTACGTTCTTCCTTCCTCTCTCAGATTTTTTCATCAAGACTTTCCTTCTTTCTGGACTGAGCTAGTGAACAACCAAAGTCTTCATAACCAAGTGTCTTATTGTAACACCCCTCTGTATTAATCAGGGTTCTCCCGAGAAACAGAACCAATAAGAGGTATATATGTATAGAGAAAGAGGTTTATTGTAAAGACTTGGCTGATGTGATTCTGCAGGCTGGCAAGTCCCCAGGTCTACAATCAGCAGGCTGGAGACTGGGGGAGCTGATGAGGTAGCTCAAGTCTGAAGACCTAGGAAAGGCTGATGTTATCATTTGACTCTGAAAGCAGGGCAAGAAAAAAACAACAAGCAAACAGAAGGACAAAACAATGTCCCAACTCAAAAGCAGTCAGGCAGATAGATTTCCCTTTTACTCAAGGGAGGAGCAGCCTTTTTGTTCCATTTGGACCTTCAACTGATTGGATTAGGCCCACCCACTTTGGGAGTGCAATCTGCTTTATTCAGTCTACCAATTTAAATGTTATTCTTACACAGAATCACACTCACAGACACACCCAGAATAATGTTTAACCAAATGTTGGGGCAACCCATGGCCTGTCACACCCTCCCAGATATTATCTGCATTTTAATCTTAATTGTTTCATACTCTTAGCCAAAGCAGGGGTAACCAGGAGAAGAGGCAGGACTTGAAGCAGTGTGTACAAGAGACCAAATACTCTTAATCTTAAACACCATACTGATAATTAATAGTTTATGAAAATACTTTTTTCTGGATTTCAGTTAGATGTTTTATGTCATACAGGAGATTAAATAGAAAAGTAAATTTTCAGTCTTCTAACATAAATTTCATATTAAAGCTAAATTCATTAGTCAGTTTATATTTTTTGCATTTTTATTGAGATAAGTTGATATAACATAAAATTAACTATTTTGAAGTGAACAGTTCAGTGGCATTTAGTACACTTACAATGTTATGTAACCACCACCTCTGTCTAGCTCCAGACCATTTTCCCATTTTCCTCACCTCAAAAGGGAACCCCATACCCATTAAGCAATTGCTTCTCATTTCCCCTTCTCCTCTACAGCCATCAGTCTGCATCCTCTCCCTTTGGATTTCACTGTTCTGGGTATTTCAGATAATGGAATCATACCATATGTGATCTTTTGTGTCCGGCTTCTTTCACTTAGCCTGGTGTTTTTACAATTCATCTGTGTTGTAGCATATATCAGTACTTCATTCTTTTTTGTGACTGAATAAGATTCCATTGTATATACACAATGTGTTTATCCTTTCATCCTCTGTTGGATGTTTGGGTTGTCTTCATCTTTTGGCTGTTGTGAATAGTGCTGTTATGAGCACACTTATACGTGTATTTGTCTGAGTACCTGTTCTCAAGTCTTTGAGGGCTATACCCAGGAGTAGAAGTGCTGGGTCATATGGTGATTCTGTGTTTAACTTTTTGAGAAACTGTCAGACTATTTTCCACAGTGGCTGAACCATTTTTCATTCCCACCAGCAGTGTACAAGGTTTTCAGTTTCTCCACATCCTTGCCAACATTTATGTTCCCATTCATTCATATTTAGGTAATCAAGTTTAAATATCAAATTTTGTGCATAAATATTTATCCTACAAGGAGATCTTCTATGGGTCAAGAAAGCAAAGAACCAAACTATTAGTTTCTAATGAAGACATGATTAATTTAAAAGTAAAGGACAAAAAAATCTTAAATACTTTAATTAATGATTTACCTGCACTCCAGCTCATTCCTAAATGAATTTGATATGGCTTATAGAGGTACGTAAAATGTAGTATTTGCATACTACCTGCATCAGAATATCTGGAAATGCTTGTTAAATAATATATGTAGACTGGCCCCATCAAATTTGAGACCTCAGGGCATTAGAAAGGGCCTATCTGGAATCGGAGTGACTTTTATATAAACTGAAGTTGAGAACCACTGGTGTAACTAGGCCAAAAAAATCTCATTAGTCAAATAAGGAATTGAATCTCACCAGGGTAGTCACTTAAAGCATTTGTGATTAAAGGCCTTTCTGCTGTGACAGGACTCTCTGCTCTTCAGAAAGAGATGAGATTGGCCATTTTCTATCTTGCAGTTTAATATGATTTAAGATTATCTGTTTTCTTCACCTTCTGGGATGTGTTTAATAGATATCTTGGCATATATTTAGATCACTGCTAAATAAATGAAAGCTTTAGGAGGTATGTCTTATATTTTATCGAAATGGTGAGAATTTCTTCATAGAATCTGAGAATAGACCCAACTGAGTAACTGAGTTGGTGTCTCCATCATTAGAAGTATTTTCTCTAGAAGTGGCTTTTAACATATGCTTTGATTTTTAAATTATCAGACGTGGGGTTTTATATTTCTTTAGGATGATGCTTGGTAAATTGGTCACTTTGATGTTTCTATCACTTTTTGGGGATCAAGGACTTCGTTGGAAAACTGAATCCTTTACCCACTCCTCCTACTCCCAAATAACTAATGAATATTCCATTGCCTCCCCTAATTTTGAATAAATGTCTTGGGTTCTATAGATATAAAGTTGAGACCATCAAGATGTTTAACTCTTTCTCCTCCTCTACATTTTAAATTTCTTTCTGCAAGTTAAAAATTTTCCCATTATTTTTGTTACACATTGGAAACTACAGTAATGCCTGGTATAACTACAAAACTAGGTTCCCAGTGATTTCAGCCACATGGTAGTGCAGCAACGTGGACGAATCAGATAATCTCACATTATGAGGTTGAGTGAACAGAGTCAGGCAAGAATGAGCATTGACTGTGTAATTCAATTTATATAAAATTCCAGAAAATGCAAACTAAACTCTTGTGAAAGAAAAATCAGCGGCTGCCTTGGGAGGGGAGAGAAAAAGGGAGGCAGGAATTACAAGGAGGAACTAGAAAACTTTGGAGGTGATGATATGTTCATATTTTGATTGAGGCAATGGCTTCGTAGGAGTACACACATATCAGAACTTACAGATTGTACACTTTAAGTGTGTGCAGTTTATTGTATGCTAATTACATGTCACTAAAATTGTTAAAAATAATATTCAAGACAAATCTCTCCCTTACAGACATTCTCTCCTCTTTTGTTCATTCCCTCCTGAGGCACGAGCTTGGCAAAACCACAAGGTACACCAGATGTGGCTGGCAAAAAAGAAACAACACTCTTCAGAGACAATTAAAAATAAGTTGTTTATAAAACCAGGCATGTAGTAAAAAACCAATCTTTTGTTCAGAAGTTATATCTGTGTTTAATTTTAGAAAAACGTTTGGAAGATTAGAAACCAAAAAATTAGCAGTAGCTATTTCTTAGTAGATTCCACATGATTTTTATTTTCTTTTCATTTTTCTGTTTGAGTGAATTATTTTACAAGGAGGAGTGATTACTTTTAGAATCATTAAAACTGAAAAACAATCTATCTTCATTTTTAAATATTAGACTATCTTCTCTACAGGATGTGTTTGCTAAGGCCACGCTCAGGCCAGCGTAAACAAGAGGGTGCACAGTCTTCTCTGGTGTGTGTTTCAGCTGGTCTGACCTCTTTCCCCATCATTCTCCCACTACCTATAGCTGGAAGACGAAATTACAACATTACGACAGGTTTTATCAGCGAAAGAAAGGCACCTGGTTGAGATAAAACAAAAACTCGGCATGAACCTGATGAATGAATTAAAACAGAACTTCAGCAGAAGCTGGCATGACGTGCAGACTACCGCTGCGTAAGTACATGGACTGAATATCTAAAAAGCCACTCAGCCTTCCGTCTTGCCTCTTCTGTTTTTTTTTTTTTTTCTGTGAGGTTGATTTGGTCCTGGTGGCTAGGAAAAAATCATTTCTCTAGAAGTAAAATAAGAAATATGAATAATCATTAATATGTTACATGTTGCAGACTCTATCAAGTAGCTCCATGAAATCAAACTTTTTTTTACCAAAACTCTGTTTTCACTCGGATTACTTTTATGGAGTTGTATAAAGTTATTTCTCCTAAAAAATTATATATATATTTTTTAACATCTGTTAAGTATATCTATTTTTCCTTATGTTTTCTCATAAAATTCTAATGGGCTCTTGCATTTCTAATATCTAGGTGGGAAGCAATTTTTATCTTTGCTGGTACTTTT